GTGTGGTCCAATGATTAGGGGCCCAAGCCAAGAAGGTCTTAGTTCAAGTGTGGGGGTTGCCTCATCCTTGCTGTTTGACTTTGAGTAAGTAACCTCACCTGTCCAAGCCCCCCTTTCCTCCTGTCTCCGTGGGTTATTGATGTGATTGATGAGGTCAGGTGCCTAAAGAGGGTGTAGCTGCAGGAAGGAGCAGAGGGCTTGAGAGCTCCGAGGGAGGAGCGTTGGCCACAGGGTGCAGGGAAAAAAGAAAGAAGGGTATTCATATCTCTCAAATCCCATATGTATTGGATTGTTCTCGCCTATCTTTTCCTTTAAGCTTCACCACCACCCTGTGTGGTCAGATCACACCCTTATTTCACGGATAACAAAACAGAAGCCCAGAGATGAGAACTCACTTGCCCAAGGACACATAGTTGGCGACCAGAGCCGCTGGGATTCTTGTGTGAGTCTGAAGTTGGTGTTATCCCAGGACACCAGCTGCAGGATCAGCTGCAGCCCCAGATGCAGGATGTGGGTTTAGCATCTTCCTTGGCAGCTGATGAGCCTCGCCACCCTAAGCACCCCTTCTTGGCCATCTCAGCTCCATTGGACCATGGGTTCTTCAAGGGCAAGCAGATAGCTGGCCACTTGGTGTTCTGCAAGGACAGGCTACCTGCATGCCTTCCCATCCAGCAGATACTCTGTGCTCTCACCTGTGACAGAGAGAGGGAGAGAAAGAACCTGGCTGCCCACAAGGACTTTGACCTGGGCATGGAGCCTGTACTCTTAGCAAGGCAGTGACTGTGAGGGGCTGGTGTGACTCTTAGGATCAAGGACTACAGTCAACACCACAAGATGCTTCTCACAGATGCTCTGTTGGGGACTGCAGCACTTTGCAGCTTAGAAAAGAAATGAGCAGAAACACTCGGCATGGAAGGAGACGTCAGACAATCAGATCCAGGTACAAAGTACAGTGTGCACCTCGCTTACCTCACTCTCTGTTGGCATCATGGGAGACATACGTAGAGTGCCACCTATTGAAGGGCATGCACAGTGATGGGCTGGACCAGAAACAGGGACCGATCACTGAAGATGTGGGAAACACACATACAAGCCAACAATACCCCCAGCCTTGGAGCCACTACAGTGTGTTCCTAGCCGATGTGGAAGGTCCTTGTGTATCCTGGTTCCTATACATGCATAGGGCTGTCAGCACTGTATAAGGGACTCTGCATTCTAATCAGTCAGGGGCATGGAAGGACACTAGATTTGGGCCAGTCTCTACCAAGTATTGTTATCCAGGCAAGAAGCCCTCTTTCCGGTCCTCACCTTACTTGTGGGAAGAATCTCTGTAAGCAATGATCTGCAGGCTGGCAGTCCCAGGCAATCCATGAGAGCAAGTGACGTTCAGTGGCAGCTTAACAAACTTACTTAACAAGGCTCCAGTCACACAAGCACATAAGCCTTTATTAAAAGCAAAGTGCATTCCAAAGAGGGAACGGGTCGAGCTCTGTGAGTGGAGTTGACCCCAAGCTGTCTAACTTGACTGGCTTTTTACTTCCTAGAAGGGGCATTCTTAAGTCAGGGCTTGGTCCTCTTGAGTGACAGGACCCCGATTGTATATTCACATCCCTTCTGCACATGTTAATGATAATTAGATTAATTGCCCAGGTCTCACAGGTGGTTGCAGTCAGTTGCAGGTGTTAGCTTAAATATTCCGCCTCTCTCCCTTTTCTCTTCCCTTCAGGCCTGCCTCTTGAGCAGTCCTCCTGTCCTACCTTCCTGTCTAACAGTATCATGGTACAAGTCATCTAGATGGTTGATGCCTTTCCACTGGAAGGCAGGTGTTCAGTCTAGATGGAAGTCTGCAGCATGTGTGCTGGGGTTGGGAGACCTGGGTCCAAATCCTACTCCTACCACTGAGGAGGGAACATGTTGGCAAGTGCTTACCTCTCAGAGCCCCAACTTCCTCATCCATAAAGGGGGAGAAATGAACGCATTGCCTCCAGGGGCTGTGAGAATTGATGCCCTGTGAAAGGCGCATGTGAGGCAGGGAACCCAGCACACTGTGTGCCTGAGGATAAGCTGACATTCTTACTATCATCTATAGGGGTCTAGTGGTATGCTGATCAGGACTGGGAGTTTAATTCTCTCCAGAGGCTCTGGGCTGACAGATCAGGTAGCTGAGTTCCGGGACTTTCCTCTGAAGTTCCGATGGAGCGGAAACTTGCTTCCACACTCAACTCTGAGCTTCCAGGAATGTGAGAACCTTTGTTGTCAGTTTCACTAGCCATTGCATCCTTTGTTCTCCAGGAAAGGAGAAAATGCACCCATCCTGGAGGTTGCAGCCACGTGCCACATGTCTGAGGCTTCTTGGTGTGGCTGAGAGGTCCACTCTGTGTGACCTTGTATTGGCCATTTGGCTTTCAGTTCATGAGGGACCAGCTGTGTCAACCCAGGCCAAAGCTCAGAAATTGGTCCTGAGTTACAGGGGTCAGGAAGGTGGCTGAGGGCACAGATGCACACATGTGGTTGTTGGAAAAGAACAACACTCCTAAAGCTGGAACCAGAAAGCTTGTACTACCTTCTGGTGAGCAGGCTGCTGGCTTGTCTGGCCCCCAGAGGCCAGGAGAGGGCCCTGGGGAGAAATTAGCCCTCCAGCTGGGGCACTCTAGGGAGCAAGTGAGGCTGAGACTGGAGGCTCAGGGACAGATGGCATCTCCATCATCTATGTGGGTGGGAGAGTAAAGGAAGGGCAGGGGCTACCGTTCAGATTACTAAGAGGCCAGAGACTCCAGCTTACCCCAAACTGCACATACACACACACACAGAGATACACATATGCACATGTACACATGAACACATAAGCACACACAGATATGCACATATACAAATGTACAGATACATATGGACATACATGTATACAGATATGCACATACATACATGTACACATGCACATGGATTGTTAAGAGGCCAGTGACTCCAGCTTAACCCAAAATATACACAGATACACATGAGCACACACATATATGAACACATGCACACAGATACATACTCATACACATGCACACAGAGACACATACATGCAGACATGCACAGACACACACATACACAGACACCCACATTCACATATGCACACATGCACTACTGCTTGATCACATATGTGATTTATACATGTAAAGAAAAATTCAAATAAAGAAACAGAGACCAGAAATGACATTGTGTTTTTTTGCTCTCACGCCCCTTTCTGTGTCTGTGAAGAGCCCCTATCTGCACCTGGGAGTGTTTGTGCCAGGTGCACCAGTGCAAACCTACTCATCAGGTTAGCACTGGTGACACCTCCTGCCCTCAACTCCAGCCCAAGCATGGACCAGCAGCCCCTAGTTGGACTTCACCTCTGTCCAGACAGGGAACTGAAGTGCACTTGGGGAATTTCACGCCTGGCCCAGAGCTGTAACTGGAGCCAGGGAACAGGGGGGTCCAGTCCTGCTGGGCATCACAGAGGGGGATTGTTTGTATAAAGGGAATGGGATGGCTTAGGGTCTGAAAGCCCTCTTAATTCACAGGGATTCTCTCTCTGTAAAAACAAATCTTGCAGCTCTCTGCAAAGAGAGTGAGTCAGAGCAGGCAGGCAAGGTGGCTTCCAGGAAGCCTCCTGGGCCTTGGGAGCCTCTTGGAAGAGACCCCTCCCCCTCATTCACCCTAGTGTCCAGAAGGGGGGGGGCGGGGGGGGGCTGGCTGCTGGTCTGGGAGTGCCTGGAGGGAAACTTCCCAAGGGCTTAAAGAAAAACCCAAACCAAACTCACTGCCATCAGAGTGGGTTCCAACTCATAGAGACCCTCACTGGGTTTCCCAGGCTGTAAATCTTTACCAAAGTAGATTTCCCCATCTTCCTTCCTTCCGTGGAGTGGCTGATGCATTTGAACCACCAAGCTTCTGGTTAGCAGCCAAAATCCACTATGTCGCCAGAGCTTAAAGAAAAGAAGGCAGAAAAAGCAGAGCCCATCAGCACTTCCCGGGGTGGCGGTTTGTCCCTCACGTATTTCCCCCCTTATAAGCCCCAAGAGGGTGTCCCTTTGATTTCTTTCTGGGAGTTCTCAGGAGTTCCCCCTCTGGGTGTGTGAGGGAGGGGTGAGAAGTGGTGAGCCCAGGAGGCAGACTTTGCCCACTAATACCCCAGATAGGACAACTGTCCAGGAGCGTTTGTGGACCTCCTGACTCGCACCGATGCACTCACGCTCCGGGAGCCAGGGGCGTGCCCTCTTTCAGACGATCCGACCGCCAGTCTTGGGCGCCCCATCCGGCTGGATTCGAAGTTCAGTCTCCACCCAGAAGAGGAGTTCCGACTCCTCCACGTTCTAGAAGGTTAGGCGGGGTGAGCTGTGATTCTCTTTTTTAACCCAAAATGATTAAGCTTCGGGTCCTCAGCATTGCTTCCCGGAGCTCAGCCAGGTGTGGGCACCTGGGGTAGGCAGGGTAGGAGACCGGGAAAGGGGGCGCACGGCTCCTGGCCGTCCTCGCCCGCGCGCTCCGGAGAAAGGCCAGCCCTTCCCCTTGGCCCGCCCGCGTCCCCACCCCGCGCCGGGCGCCCAGTGGTAGGCGGGGGCCGGGCCGGCAGCGCACAGCCCGGGCTCTGATTCGCTGCAGGCGCCGGGGAGCGACAGCCGCTCGGGGGCCTGCCAGCGGAGAGGAGGGACGACGGGGAAAAGTGCTTCGCGCCTGGGCCAGTCCTCACTCCCGTCCCCGCGGCTGGCGCAGGACTCATTTGGAGCGTCCACAAGAGCGGGTCGCGGGGCGGCGAGGCGGCGGGAGGAGCTGCGGAGAAGGACCAAAGCGAGCGCCAAGGGCTCTGGGCCGCCCTGCGCGCCAAGGCCAGCCTCCCTCCAGGACAGCCGCCGCCACAAAGGACAGAGAGCCGGCACGGGCGCCCATGACTTCCTAGAGTTGGGTGTCCTCGTCGAGTCCCTGTTCGGGCTCCGCCAGCGCCCCCACGCCCTGCGCTCCCCTCGCGCCCCGCCGGCATGGACTTCCACACCCGCTGGAAAGCGCGCAGCCCGCGCCGCCCGGGCGCCCCGCTGTCGCCGCCGCTGCTGCTGCCGCTGCTGTTGCTGTGGGCGCTGCCTTCGAGCCGCGCAGGTAAGGGCTCTGGGCGCGGGGCACGCGACAGGGTGTCCGCCACACTCCGGGGCGCGCTGTCATCCCAGGCGCCGGGGCCTTTTCGTGTTGCCTGCAAAACTTTCCCCCCTGGGCTTCTGGAATGCACTGACGGAGGCTGCGAATGCCATTCGCTGGGGGCCCTGAGGGGGAGACGCGCCAACACAATACCCGCAGTCTCGGCAGCCCCCTCCTCCCCAGCTGGGCCGACCGCCTGGCGCTGTCGTGCGGGCCTGAGCAAGAGCTGAGTGTTGGGAGCGACCCAGGAGGCCGTCCAGCAGGCGGGCCAACTTTTTCCTGAGACCCTTGTGTTGGCGGCGCCGCAGCATAGGCTCCATCCCGGGTCCCACTCAGCTACACTGCAGAACTTCCTCTCCTCAAGCCAGCAGGGTCCCCCTAGAGTCATAGCCTCTCAGTTCTGGCTGGGACTTCTGGAAGGCTCTGTGGGAACCACAGTGGCCCCAGTGCTGGTCTTCCCTAATCCCTCTGGGGTTCAGAACTTTCAGTAGACTGGATTCTTGCAGCACTTGGGAGCCCTGTAGGGTGGTAGAACAGCCCTACTTCCAGCCCATCCCAAACCTCCTGACCCCCTGGGAGACAGCACCTCTCCTAGAGATGGGACCACCTAGCAAGCTACTGATATAATCCTGTGAGTAGGACAGATGGTGTGCAGTTGTGGGGTTCCTTGACAGGGACCTGCCCTTTGAAGGGGCCCCTTCTATGAGGAGGTCTCTGCCAACCACATTGTCCCTCCCTGCCTGGGTCCTGGAAGCTCCAACTGTCTTAACATTCTGATACACGGATGTCTTGCTTTCTTGAGCACCTTCCTTGGTTGGCTGTGGAATGGTTCTTCCCAAACACTGGAGTGAGTGCAGGAATTCCAGATTCCTGACCACTCTGTTGATGCCTGGGGAGATGGAGGCTCAGCTAGGTTTGTCCTGAGCTGTGGAGATTGACAGGGGTGGGGTCATAGCCCTGTGGCAGCTGGACAGCCAGATGTCCTCCAGTGAGAAGGGACAGGTTTGCTGCGCCCTTTCCCTTTCCACGTTGTAATTTGAAGTCATTTGGAAAGAATCACTTCCCATGTGCTTCTTGCCAGCCTCAAAGCATTCCCCCCACCCCTTTTTTTCTTGGCACAATTAACACTTGGTGGCCTGAGGAGGGCCAGCAGGAGTCCAAGTGTGGGGCAGCTCCTGGGCTCTGGGAAGCGAGTGAGGAGCCTGGCCTGGTCCTTACCCTTGTGCTTCCACCAGCTTGCCTGTGACCCTGGCCAGACGGGCCTTCTGTGTCGCAGGGGTTAGTGGAAGGCTCTAGACAATGTAAGTCTCTGGAAGAGTGATGGTGGGGCAAGGTGGGGAGGGATGTGGTCTGGGAACCCCAGGCCTTCTCTCTCAGACATGTCCCAGCTCCTCTGAGAGATTTGTCCCCCAGGGGATCTGTCCTCTTCAGGGGAAGGGCAGGGCTAGGACCAGGTAGGTAGACCATGAATTTGCAGGGTCTGGGATATTGGTTGCATTGCCCATTCTGCCTCTGCCTGAGTGCCTTGCTCCATCCCTGTCTCCTGATGTAGCCTCTGAATTGAGATTTAGATGCAGTCCCCTGAAGCAGTAGTATGGAGGTGGCACAAGTAGGGGCTCCCTCTGTCGTGGCTGCAGAGTTGGACATTTTGCTTTTGTCAAAACAGACTGTCACAGATGTGAAGATGTCACTTTTCAGGGTGGGCTCTATAAATTTCTCTCCACCTTCCAGGGTGGGTCCCCTTTTGAGGTCACCCACAGTGCGTGGCCAGAAGGGCAGCTATCTGCCCACCGAGGATGCGGAGGGGGTGGGAGAAGGTCTCAGCAAGTGCCTTCGCATCGCTCCATCTTGAGTCTTGCCAGATGTTTTCCAAGTGTTCTCCGAACATGGCTCGTTTCCCTGCCTTCTTCTTGGCCAAGCGTGTGAAGGAATGAAAAATTCAATTTCATTTGGGGCTGCTTAACATCGTGCCGGGGGAGGGAGAGTATGTGAAGTGAAACATGACCCCGATATTTGGAAATTGAGGTCATCTCCTTTGCACCTCATTGGTGCACACCAGTCACGTGACTGCTTTTTGCAAGAATTTGTAGGAAGCATCGGCCAAGTTCTGTGGGACTTGACAAATATCAAATGGTTAAATTTCCTCTGACTCAATGAAGTTGGCTGGAAAGACATCCCTTTCCATTCTCCCCATTGAAGCCCAGTCAGTGGGGGGAGCCCAGAACCCCCACCCCCCGCCCTTTGTCTCACCCGGATTTTAGTTCCTGGAGGGGTTGGACTTGTGGTCACTTCCCTGGGAACTGTGACCACCCAGCAGTGGCCCTGGTCAGCCATTTTTTCCCTTAGTCCCAAAGCTCCAAGTTCCTTCTCTGATGATGTTGCCCCAGGGCTGGTCCTGGGGAGCTGGCCAGAGCCTGCCCCTTCACCCCACTCTTCAGATACTTCGGGCTCTCCCCACCCTGAGAGTACAGTGGATGACCGCCTACCCCTGCCTCTTCTGGTCCTATCTCCCTCTGCCTCCTCCCTGGGCCCTGTTGGTCCCCTTTTTGTGGGTCCTGGGCTTTGTCGGGTGGGTAGAGGGATGGGATGTGGAGGAATGGATTTCCACCACTTCTTGCTTCTCCCCCAGCCCCTACTTAGTGACAGTGATTTGGGGAGGGCAGACTGGGCCCCCAGTCATCTGCAGCCCTGATGGCCCAGCGTTTACTGGCTGGGCAGAGACAACAGGAGCCAAGGTTTGCAATTAAGGAGGCTGCAGGGGCCTCTTCCCCTGGTCCTATGGCTTTATGAGCACTCAGTGGAGGTGGCCATGATTGCTGCTGGAATTCATTTGCTGGCACCTGCCTGACCCTGAACGAATCCCTGTGCTCATATCATCACACTAGCGCCTTAGCAATGACTGGAGGCTGGTGCTCTCTCTCCAGGCCAGCAGGGATCCTAGGTGGGAGCTTTCTGACGCCTCTCTCCCTCCTGTCCTCCCTTCTTCTCTCCTTCCACTTCCTCTCTCCTCCCTCCTAGTTCTCCCCCTCCCTCTCTCCTTCCCTTTCCTCCTATTCCCTCCCTGCCTTCACCTGGAGACCCAGGTGAATGGGGCAGGAGTACCCCATTTTAGGAGTTCATAGTCTGGTGGCCAGGACATGAACACTATACATGTCACTTGAGGCCCTAGGAGACCACCTAGTGTTCTTTAAGACAAACTGGGAGGGCTAGCTCTCCTGGGCAGATCCAGGGAAGCTTCCTGGAGGGGGCGATGTTAAAGTTGGCCTTTCCCTCCCTCCTTCTCCTTTCTCCTCCACCTCTGTTCCTCCTCCTGGCAGGGACTGTAAACCTTGCCCCAGTGTCTCTTAGGCTACAGTGGCTGACACAGGACACCCTGCCACACAGTCATTGAGGCTGTTCCATTGGCTGAAAAGACCCTCGTTAACTTGGTTGGCAGTGCCCCAGCCCATGGCAGCCCTGGAGGGCCACGTGGCCAGCAGAACCCGCTTCTGCTGCAAGACAGGAAGTGTCGCAAAGGAGAACAAGTATCCTCGGGTGGGGGTCCTCGGGAGGCAAGCATGGGAGGGTGAGCTTTCGGAACCCTCTCTGCACATTTCTTTCCCTGCATCTGTCCATACTCAAGCCTTGAGCCCTGGCTGAGAACCCAGAGCCATACACAGGGTTGAGGGGCTACTCTGTGTTCAGTCTATGACTCTGCAAGCAGACTGATGGACCTCACTGTACTGGCTCAGGGACTTGGCACAATTCTGACCCTGTGCTTGGTAACTAGGAAGTAGGAGTTGGGAGACACCTACATTGTGGGGGACACTCCCAGGCAGTCTGTCTAATCCCGGGGCAGCATGGGTGCCCTGAGTTTCTCTGCCTCTAACAGGCCTTGTGGAGGGAGGTTTGGCAGGGCTAGGCCCAGTGGCTGTGCCCCAGTGTCCCCCTCTGGGAAGTGGACGGAAGAGTGTTGCTTGCTCTCAGCAGTTGTTGTTAAGATTGATTGAGGTGAGGTGTGTAAACAGCTTCGTCGAATGCCTGGCATGTGGTACAGAGAACCAGCTGCTGTTGAGTTGGCTCCGACTCATGGTGACCCCATGTGTGTTGGAGCAGACCGGACTCCACGGGGTTTTCAGTGACTGGTTTTTCAGAAGTAAATCACCAGGTCTTTCTTCTGAGGTGCCTCTGGATTAACTTGTTAGCACCAGATAAATGGCAAACATTACTAGAACTGCTAACTTTGTCGATGTCTTTGTAAGACCAAATAGCATAGTGTTACTGCAGTTGTCTTGAAATGCAAGTATTCCAGCAAGTATTCCACATGGTGTGTCATCTCCTCCATGTGGCCTCTTGAGCCAAGTACATGGAAGAGGGGGCCGGCTGTCAGGCTGCGTGTGTATGTGAGTGTGTGAGAAGATTAATGTCACCAGTCCTGCAAAGCTATGAAGCAGAGGTGGGCGGGTCTGTGTCTGGGAGGCATGGGTCTTTGCTGAGAGCACTGAGGGGGCTGAAGATGCCGAGGGGCCCGTCCTGGCCTTGCCGTCCATAAGAACCCATCTTCCTGAGCCTCAGTCTTTCCTCTGCATGGAGTATAATCCCGAATCGCCTCATGGGGTCATTGTATAGATCTCATACTTTACAAACCCACTCAGTACTGTGTGTGTGTGTATGTGTTGTGTTGTGTGTGTGTGTGTGTGTGTGATTTATGTGTGCTGTGTGTTTTTGTAGGAGTCCCTACCTGGCACCCACAAAAACCCAGGAACTCAAAACACACAACACATACCACACATATATCATGTGCATACACACTTTATCCATGCATACACACGCCCTGATACAGACACACACCCCAGTGTTCTGTGTGGGTGTGTGTTTGTGGGTGTACACATGTGTATGATATGTACATTCATGGCTCATACCCTTGTGCTGCCTGGCTCTCCCAAGGCACCTCTGCAGGCAGCTGTGATATTTCTCTCTTTTCT